CCCGGGAGCCCCGGCGGCCAATCGCAGCGCGCATCCGGCCCGAGGGGGAGGGTGTTAGGCTGCGCGGTGCTGCGTGTGCGGCGGGTGGGGGGCGGATGGGGCCTGCGGGACATGTGGGGAGCCTGGCCTGGGGCGGGGTGTGGCTCCTTACCCCCCATCCTGCCCCTACTGCCACCATGGGGCAAGTCCTGTCTGCCCCCTGGGGTCCTGCTACCTTCCTGTGCTGGGGACCCGTCTCCCCCTCCCACATCCCCTGCTGCTTTGGCAGGCTTGGTGCAGGGTGCTCCTCTTTCTTCACTGACTGATTTTTTTTTTTTTTTTTGCCTCTGACGGGCACTTGCTCCTCTTCTCCTTCTTTTCATTTGCCTCCTTTGTTTCTCATTCTCTTTTTCTCCATTCACTGGGGCTGGGTCCTTTTTTCTCATCCTCTTCCCCTTTGATATACCCCCTTCTTGCTTTTCATCATCATCCCCTGTCTTCTGAGCTATGACCCCCCGCTCTGCTTTGTCTAATCTGGCCTAGAGTACCAAGAAGCAGAAAGAGCCTCACCTTGGGTTGGGGGAGGGTCTGTGGCTGAAGTGTATTTTATTAAGTGTGGTGGGGAGCACTCACACCCTCAGGCCTGTAAAAGGCTATCTCCTGTTGACCCGTTAAAACACATGGCAACACCTGCACATGAGTGCACTAAAATCAAGGATGGATTGGGCTGCAAGGTGTAAGGTTCTTCTGTGAGCAGCCAAATAAGCTGTTTGTCATTATGGCAGTTCAGTGAAAGAGTCCAAGGATGTGTGGCTTGTTGCTGTTGGTCACCTATTTCTCTTTCAGATTAGAAGCAAAATGTGGGTGTTTTTCTTTATGCGGACATGTATGTGCTTTCCACTTCACCAGTGTCAATGGACAAGAAATTCTGAAATCGTATAAAATGAGGGTTGGAAGGGACCTCTGGAGGTCATCTAGTGCAGCCCCCTGCTCAAAGCAAGACCATCCCCAACTAGATCATGCCACCCAAAGCTTTGTCTGCTCAAGTCTTAAAAACCTCCAGGGATGGAGATTCCACCACCTCTCTGTTGTAGCCTGTTTTAGTGCTTTACTGCCCTCCTAGTGAGACAGTTTAGGTGAGGTATTGGGAAGAACTTCCTTTGCTGCAACTTGGGACAATTGCTCCTTGTCTTGTCATCTGCCACCACTGAGAACAGTCTAGCTCCATGGTCTTTGGAACCCCCCTTCAGGTAGTTGAAGACTGTTATCAAATCCCTCAGTTGTCTCTTCTCCAAACTAAACTGAGATATCTGCTATGCAACTCCATGTTTAGTGATCATGGAACCCTTCTGAAGCATAATTGGAATATCCTTTATGTTTAAAAGATATTCTAGTAGCTCTCTCTTTAGTTCCTGTTCTATGGCTAGCTGTTTACTAAGTCGTAACCCTCCACTGTAACTGGAACCCAACTGTAGCTGAGAAACTTTACTGGTGCAGCTGATGAAAATGTGTCCCAGTCACTTCTTGCAATTTTTTTCCTGCATACATTCTAGAGCGTTAGCCAATACTTTTGGCAGAGCTTGGTTATGTATAGAAGCTGTGAGAGCATGTACATTGCAGACCCAAATCCAAATGTAATGTGAAAGGATTTTATAATAGTCTGTCTAAATTACAGATGGAACAATTGATGTTTGGACCCAGAATAAAACAGAGCTACTTATGTAGTTCTTGTTAAATTATTTTCTGCCTGCTTCCTGCAACTACTTAAGTAATGGCAAATACAAGCTGCTCCTGCTTTTCAGTTGCATGTCCCAGAGTTCCTCTGCATCAAATCAGAATGGAATTTTGAGAGTTGAGTCCAGTGTCTCCTTGGGGGTTGTGACTGTTGCCATTTTCACATTTTTTTTCATTAGCTTCCACAGTCTTTAATCTAGTCTGGCAAAATTCCTTATCTCTGACTTTACCATAATGAGAAAAGTAATTCTACTCATCCCCAAAGAACTTTTATAATAAAGGGTGAATGAGGTAGGTTTTTGTTTTAGGCCAGTATGTTTTTTGGATGTTTTTGCAAGGCTTAATTGAGCTTATATTGATGGACCTAAACTTTATTTGCAAACACTGTATTTCAGGTGTCTAAACAGACTATTTGATAGCCTCCTTACGATTTTGTCAGGTGAAGTATTCACCAGGGTCGTATACAAATCCATGATCTTCTGTTACATGCTGCTTACAGTGGTTTGTAGCTACTACCAGAGTTTTTTCCATTTTGTCTACTGGGAAATTTGTACAGGTTTCTAACATTTGAGTGCAACTGTTCAATTTTTAGGAATTGGTTACGTTTGGGTTTAGAGCAGACAGGAGTTACAGGAAGACTTGCATCGGCTATGTCCAGCTGTATTGTATTGACATTAATACAGCTGTACCAAACCTCTTTCGGTTTTGTTTGTTTGTTTGTTTTTAAGCCTCTTTTTTTTTCTAGTGTAGACAAGGTCTTAGACTAGGTCACTCCTGGCATGGGCACCTCACTGCTGCAGCTTGTTCTTCATACCTCATACAAAGCAAAAGACTATAAAAATGCAAGGCTGCCAAATTGCAAGTGTTTTTCATTAGTCATTATCAAAACCACAACGTAAAAAATCAGGCATTTATATAGATAATACAAAACTGTCTGTACTACATAACTAATGTGGACATCAGGGAAATTGTAAGGTAAACTTATTCTTGCAGAAATATTTTTTTTATTGTATAAGAACTGACTAATGTCAGCTTTTTAAAGTTCCAGTGTGGAACTACAGCTTGGATGCTTCCCTCAGGGTCAAGATTTGGATGATACATGGGACATAAGTAGCTGAATTAAGGAGAGCTGTCAACAGGGTAGGAGCATAAATGTTAAGTGTTGGATATTTATTTGGGATATTTTTTAAGATTACTTGAAACAAAGTCAACAGCTATTTATGTTGCTTCCCATTAGTTCTAATTAGGAGCTTAATGTTGGTAATCTTGGGATGGGTACACAGTTGTTTGTCAGTGGGAGCAGTTTACTGTTGTTGTGTACTGTAAAAATTGCCCAAAGAGTATTATTCTTGTTTGGTTGGGTTAAGTTTTTCTTGATAGTTCAGAAGACCTGATGGATCAGGCTTTGAGTAAGGACAGATTTGAGAAACATTTTCCATTTATGAACATGTTGTCTTACCTTCTAACCAGCCCACTTTCCTCGTGGAACTGTCCAGAGTGCTGGCAAATCCAGGAAACAGCCAGGTTGCGAGAGTTGCAGCTGGTTTGCAGATCAAGAACTCTTTGACGTCTAAAGATCCAGATATCAAATCCCAATACCAACAGAGATGGCTTGCTATCGATGCCAATGCCCGGAGGGAAGTCAAGAACTATGTAAGTTGTGTACCTGAATCTTCAGTAAATTCTGGTTGGTGTTGTGTTTGGTTTTTTTTTGTCCTTTTGCTTTTAAACTTAACTGCAGTTTCTCTGTGAGGCTGAGCAATGAGCGTTTTGATGCATTTCTTACCATCTGAAAAACCTAACTAGTTCTCAGCATCCTGACAAAATGGTGGACCTTATTGTACTTCTACTAATATTTTACGTTGCTCAAAGCAATGCTTAAAGCAGGAGTGGGCAAAATGCGGCCTGGGGGTGGATGCAGCCTGCCAGGCCATTCTATCTGGCCTGTGGGGCCCCTAAAAAATTTAGAAAATAAATATTAATCTGTCCCTGGCTGCCTATCCATGTGGCCCTCAATGGCTTGCCAAAACTCGGTAAGCAGCTCTCTGCTGAAAGTAATTGCCTGCCCTGACTTAAAGAGACCTGCATGTTTCTCAAACAAATTTTGATGCAGCTGTGAGCTAGGTACAAGTTAGGTAGGGACTAGCTGTGTAATAGTTCCCTCCAAGGGAAAAATACCACATAGTCTCCATAATTTCTTCTAAATTATGGATGAGGATGGAGGTAGCGAGTTGTTGGTTCATCTTCTGCTGATGCTTGCAGGTTGGTGGTAGTCTTTCAACAATAGTGTTGGGACGGACAAAATATCTGAATGTCTGTTTGGGCCTTTAAATAAGCAGTATTGTACAGTGTATTCAGGAAATGCATGGGTTTATCCTGTGAGCCATTTTGCACAACCGGTTATTCTGTTACTCTTGCACATGCTGTGTCAAATTAGGCTTTCCACCACTTCTGTTCGGTGGCAAGTTCAGTTCTTGCATGTGTGCACGTGCACATGTGTGTGGAAATAAATAGGAATTATAGGTGAAGCATTGAGGCAAAAACTGAAACCTGCTCTTAAAATACAAAACCTTTCTTGAAGTATCTGAATAGCCACTCCAAAATTTCTGAGATGGTAAGCAGGCTCTTTAGAGGATGGAGATTTCTCCCTACTTTGCTGTATTGCTTGAAAAGCAGGTACCAATCTTTGTTTCATGCTTAAGCATTTCCTCAGAAATTATTGCCCTATGTTAATTGTGAAAGTCTAGAGATGGGCACTATCTGCGTGTGTATGCAGGGCCTAGCATTTGGAGTCCAAGAAGAAGGAATACCTAAATTCCACATATTAAAAGCTGTGACCCTAAGTTTTGTATGGAAGTGGAGTTTATCTTGCAATACGCCAAGCTTAAAGCCTCTATCTTTGTCTTTTAGGGGTTGTTGTAATTGTTTTGTTGTTTTTGTTTGTTTTAACACCCCCCAAAGGTAGTGCATTGTATACACCAGATGCCTTTGTAGTAGTTGCATTTTGACTCATGACCACATGCACTTGAAAATGTTTGCAGATCTGTTTAATGAGTTGGTGTTGTTGGATGCAAATGCATTTTTGGTAGTAATTTGTTTTAACTGATATGTCTTAATGTTTACCATTGTATGTTCTTCAAAGTAAGTTTGGGCACCTAGATAGTGTATGTTAACTTTTTTTCAGCTGTTTCTCTTTCACTGGAAATCAGAGATGTACCGTTGCTCTCTTTGACCACAAATGAGTTGTGTGTGGCAGGAAACTTAACTTTTTGCTTCTGGCAGAAATACAACTGTAAAATGACTGGTCCTTAGATATGGAACTTATGCCATAGCATGTTAGAGAATTCATCAGTTTAATTTGCCTTTCAATATTATCTAACTGTCAAAAAATTTAAAATGAAGTTCTTGTCATGTGGTAAAAGTGACTTATTGAGAGAACTTCAGAAAAAAAAAGAGTAGTAGTGGTAAGAACCTGTGCATCAAGAAAAAGCTAATCTGTACTAAATCAGGAAGTGAAGTCGAATGGAAGTGTGTTGACCAATAGCAGATCAGATGTGAAATGAAGTTAATAGGATTTCCCTTGTTCATCTTGCATCTTAAAGCCACTACTGCCACACTTTGCTAGGCAGGTTTTGTAGATACCAGAGGTGAAGTGGCCATGGAGATTACTGTAGTTTCCCTCATGTCTAAAGGTATATTGTTTAAGGCTCTGGCTAACACTGCAGCAGTGGGTTGCTTGGGGAACTTGTACAACATGGTTAGTGTTGTTCACTGTCATTGTGAGCATTCTGATTTAACAGTTTTCTCTTGCAGATTCATCTCATAATTGAAATTATTTGAATTGGGCTGAATAATTAAAATTTCTATCTTGTTCATGTCCAAGTATGTGTCTGGATTTAAACTATCACTTGTATAACTTTTTTTTAATTTTCTGATCATCTGTCAGACAAGGCAAACAGTTTTCTACATGAGTCATCTGTGTACTTTAAATTCTGCATACGATGGCTATATACAATTATGAAGTGTGGCTTTGAAATCTGTGCAATCATGCATGATCAGTCCTATGCCTGAAGTAGGCAATCTGGATACCAGTCCTTTTACAGCAATGGTTCCCAACCTTTTTTATACTGCGGACAGGTGAGAGTGGATGGGGCATGCAGAACCAGCTGCCTCCCTCCTGGGGCTGCCCCGCCGCGCAGCTTTAACCCCAGAAGCTGCTCACCTGAGCAAACAGACAGGGGTCCAAACAGGGGGGCTTGTGCCATGATCCGACAGCCAACCCACTACAGCCTGGTACCAGGCCATGGCCCAGTGATTGGGAACCTGTGTTTTACAGACATTAATTGCCTGTGGTCAAATAATTCTTTATAGAAGAAGAAGCTGAAGTAGTTTGATTCTTGCTACTGATGATCCAGAACCTGACTGAATTCCTGATGGTTTTTCTACAGGTCTTGCAGACATTGGGTACAGAAACATACAGGCCCAGCTCAGCCTCCCAGTGTGTGGCTGGCATTGCCTGTGCAGAGATTCCCATGAACCAGTGGCCTGAACTCATTCCTCAGCTGGTAGCAAATGTTACAAATCAACACAGCACTGAGCACATGAAAGAGTCTACCTTGGAGGCAATTGGTTACATCTGTCAGGATATTGTAAGTATCTCTTCTTGAATATTCTGTTCCTCCTTCCTCCTAGTCTTCCTTATAAATTTTGTTGTGTCTAGATGTTTGGGGAATAAACTATTAACAAATCATCCAAGCTGGCTTATAGCTCTATATCAGGGATTGGCAGTGTTTTTGGGCAGAGTGCCAAAAACACCCACAACCTCGACTTGTAAGATGTTGGTGTGCCAGGGTGGATGGTAGAAGAGCCACGAGAAACCCAGTCCTTGATGTGGTAGCACAGCCCTGGCCCCTTTCCTGCCGTCTGCCCTGAGGCGCACATGCCAAGCAGAATGCCTCTACTTGCCATGTTCTGGCACTGTGCTGGGGGTTGTCTACCCCTGGTCCTATATCTTCAATGTTGTCTGCGGTAATAGAGAAGAAGGCTTCCTTATAGAACTTGTAGAAGGAAATAAAAAATGGGAACAGTGACGTCCAAAAGACCTGACCTCATTTCACAATACAAATCCAGATCATTTTGAGTAAAGTACAGATACAATTGTTGAGTATGTATGGGGTTTGTACTATAGTGATCGGGTGCCAACATAAGAGCCTAGATCACTGATTCTCGATCTTCTTAGACTCAGCGCACTCCTTGTTACTCAAGTCACCCCTCAAAAAAATACCGGCTCTTAGCTTTTACTTGTTTAAAAATTGCAGAAAAATAATAGAACAATTCTTCTGTTGCAAAGAACGTGGACCAAAATAGATCAGAATGTTTTAATGCTATTGATTTCTATTTAAAAATCCATTGGTTTCTCTTGTGAACCATCTTTGCACAACTAACAGCGCTGACATTGCTTAGCACCCTATGCAGCTTTGAAAGGAACTCAAGGCATCTCAGGCTGCTATACACCTTGGTTAAGACTTGCTGACCTAGGTGGATCTCCTGTTGAGTGAGTTGACTAGAAGTAGGTGATAAATGCTTGCTGTATCTGTATTTTGGGGAACTAGAAATGTTAATACTGTGCTTCGTGGGAAGTCTCTTTATTTCCAGGTAAGCAATTATTATAAGTTGACAAATTGTGGCTTGGTATGATACCTTCCATTGAAGAACTGCAAGAAAATAGTGTAAACATTTAAGAACAAAAACATTTGTTTATCAATGTCCAGAACTCACTTTGGAATTGGAGATGCAGCTGATGCAAACTGAAATTTTCAAACCTTGTATGATGTCTATTTTCAGGTGCAAGTCAAACTGGCATTCTTCTGTTTCCTTGTGGAAGCAATTGAATAGTTGCACTGCTTTTCTTTTTTGAGGAGGAGTGGTTGAAATTTCAGAAATGGGTATTGTTCATTGGAACAAGAGAAGCTTACCACATTGGTGTCCTACACAAGGAAATCTTTCTGCATGCTGGCTTTCAGCAGGAAACAAAAGAAGCCTTCGTTCACTCTTCAACCTGTAGCTGAACTTGCCTCTTAGTATGTAACAGGAAAAGCCTACTTCCCAATACTTCTTCTCGAACAGAATTTAGGATGTTTTGGGTGATGCCCCTTTTACAGGAGAGAGGATGAAAGGTTGGAGACAGTTTGAGAAGCTTCCCTGATAGATGGAGATGTGTTAATAATGTATAAGATTGCAAAATGCTCTCCTCCTCTTGAAGAGGGAGTTGGAAGTCATGGAATGCCTCACAGGGTAAAGTAAATAACTGTATCAAAGTGTCAGTGAGGGTGGGGCATGGAAGAAATCAACAGAATAAGGCAGAAGAGAGACCAAAGGAAAAACAGATTGAATACCACCAGAAAAGATAAGTGTGCCTCTTGCTGCACTGAGTGTTTAAAGGTTTTGTGGTGTTGACTAGCTTAATTTGAAAAATAAGAACAAAGTCGTAAGTCTACTTCTCTCCAAACAGGTCTAGGAGGGAGAGATCCTGAACTAATGCAAAGAGGTGATTAAGCTGCAGTCATACAGCCAGATGGGGGGGGGGGG